ACTGCTGCTGTGCACTCAGCTAGGGGGTTTATCCCCAAACACTAACACCCATGGAGGACCCGGCCCCGGTCCATGCAATTTTCGATGCCAGTGAGTTTAACATCCCAGTCACCGCCGGTGACATAGCTCTCCACTCCAAGAAAGACAAACTGATCGCCCAGGTCCTGGACTGGGTACGGAGGGGGTGGCCGGGCAGTAATCTGTCAACTGATTTCTCACCGTTTAAAACCCGCCAGCAGGAACTTTCCAGTTTACAGGGCTGCCTACTATGGGGGACCAGAGTGGTCATTCCAAAACCGCTGCGTACGCCCGTCCTGAAAGCGTTACACGAGGGGCACCCGGGCATCGTCCGGATGAAAGCATTGGCTCGGAGTTATGTATGGTGGCCCAGCATGGACGACGAAATCGCGAAATGGGTAAGCTCCTGCCGCCCCTGCCAAGAATCCAGGCCAGCACCACCGATTGCTACCCCAACCAAATGGGAGAGTGCCAACGCACCGTGGTCACAATTGCACATTGACTTGGCAGGTCCCTTCCACGGCAAGACTTTCTTAGTGGTCGTGGATTCATTCTCCAAATGGATAGATGTGGCCCTCCTACTCACAACTACCACCCGAGCAGTTGCCCAGGCTCTGACCCGCTTATTTGTTACACATGGTCTACCTGACACCATAGTCTCAGATAATGGCCCCCAATTTGCCTCCACAGAATTCAGCCAGTATATCACCAACCTGGGCATCCGGCATATCCTAACGGCTCCCTTTCACCCTGCCAGCAATGGGTTGGCAGAGAGAGCCGTTAGGACAGCGAAAGAAGCATTGGCAAGATTCACTCAAGATGACTGGCACTCCAGACTCTCTCGTTTTCTTTTAAGCCAACACTCGACCCCTTGTACTGTCACAAACAAATCCCTCGCCGAGTTACTGATGGGCAGACGCTTAAGGACAGTATTAGATAGACTGCATCCCCACTACTGCCCTGACACACCAATTGGTTCTAACAGTAGGGTCAGGAGTTTTATGTTACAGGACCAAGTGTTCGCCAGAAACTACGCAGGCGATCCACTGTGGGTGCCCGGAAAGGTCGTGGCCATCACCGGCCCTAGATCATACCGCGTCCAGCTAGAGGATGGTCGTATATGGCGGAGGCATCTGGACCAGATAAGAAGTCGCCAGAGCGAACATGCCAACGCTGATCCAGGGACTCCGGTGACTGTCCAATCGCCGTACCCGAATCCCAGCTGCGACCTCCAGAGTGACCAGTCATCACCAGCCGAGCCAAGAGAATGGACGGTAGACCGGGACCGTCCTACAGAGGTGTCAGCCGTTCCAACCAGCGACGCCACCGGGTTGCGTGACAATGACAATTTAACAATCCAACCCGGGGGCTGTGACCATTCCCATACGCCAGACCGGGCCCCAGTTCGATCCGAGGGTCCAGCAGAGACAGTTCCGGACTCCCAGAACTCCATGCCACCTTGTGTCTCACCAGAACTGCGCCGGTCTGGACGCTCGCACAAGCCGCTCGCTTATTTAAAGGACTACTCATGTTCGTATCTGGGGGGAAGGAGTGTTATGTCCCCGGGACTAACACAAGTTCTCTATCAGGTCCGTCCATCCGGTGGGGGTGTTTGCAACCCCCATTGGCTGGCTCCCTTCGACAGCCGGCTATAAAAGCCGGCTGCTAGGTCGAGCCAGTCGCTGTTCGCTAGCTAGTCTGCTGTTAGCTGCAGACGCGACAGCCCCCTTTATTCCCTCGAATAAAGCGTGTTACAGAATGCTCTGGTGTGGTCTCCCCTTTCTTTGGAACTTAACAGAGGGTATCTGCTAAGAAATTATTCATCTCGGTAAGTAGCAACAGGTAAAGTTGAAACGGTTAAAATACCGAGCTTATTGGATCTGTTTAGGGGATAGCTTCCTCAGGGTCATTAATGCCTCCAGGTTCTTGTGGTCCATCCACACTTCAAATGGGATCCTACTACTCTCTAAAAACTGCCTCCAGGTCAGAAGAGCCCATCAGATTGCACAAGCCTCCTTCTCCCAAATGGTCCATGGCCTCTCAGTATCAGATAACTTGCAAGATGTTATAACTTGCAAGCATAGGGTTGCAAACCCCCCACCCCCTTTCATTCCTCTGGAGTAAAACTGCCCCTATTACCACATCGCTGGCACTGCCTGCATCACAAAAGGCTCATCTGGATTTGAGTGCTTCAAGACTGGCTCTGCAGCAAAGAACTGCTTCAGCTTTTTGAAGGTGGCTTGGCATTTGATTTTTTTAGTTTACTTTATTGTCATTGCACCTGGTACAATGAAATCAAACACCATCTTTAGTATGACTGAAAATAAACACAAACACACATCCTTCATACCCTATACATTGAATTGAAAACCCCTGATATTGCATTAATATTGCACTATGCAGTAGAATTCAATAGAGTTATTGCCCTGGGATAGAAGCTGTTTTTCAGCCTATTTGTCCTTGTTTTTATTATTCTGTACCGTCTGCCAGATGATAATAGTTCAAAAAAAGAGTGCCCAGGATGAGATGGATCTTTGAGAATGTTTTGGACTTTCTTAAGGCAGTGGGAGCTATAAAGCTCTTCCAAAGAGAGGAGAGGGCAATCAATGATCTTCTGGGCAATGATGTTAACCCTCTGGAGTGCTGTCCTATCTGCCACTGTGCAATTGGCAAACCATACAGTGTTGCAGTAAGTTAAAATACTCTCTATGGTGCAGCAGTAGAAGGTCACCATCAGTTTTTCATTCAGTTGTTGTTTTCTGAGAAGTCTAAGGTACTATAATCTCTTTTGACCAGTGCCGCAATGTGAGCATCCCAGGTCAGGTCCTCTTTTACAGTAACTATGGGTGACATTCTCTGACATTCTATTGCTATCTAAGGTTCTCTGCTGTGCTTATACTTTGATATCTTTGTTTACTGTAAATGACAAAGGCAACCAGTAAGATTTTGTAGTTGGCTATACTTTGGACTGTTAAACGTATATGACCTGGACCATTTATTGGACTGTGCTATTTCTTAAAGTAAACTTTAACTCAATTTAGTGTATCTGTGTGTGGCTGGATAATTATTCATAACTATTCTCATAAACATTTCCATGTGCATATCCTTGTTACTCAAGCGCTATTTTGTACATATCATAACAGGTAGACCAGCATTCCCTCAGGCCAATCTCTCAGGTGATCCATAAGGTTATGAAAATCTTGGGTGTAATCTGCCATTGGCCACTTGCCTTGCCATAGGAAGTGGATGTGATCTCTCCATGCCAGACTGTTATGGGGGCCTTTGAATCTAGAGAGGGGTGCAGCCTTATGGCTGGTGTCTCTTCATGACATGGGGCCTCTGGAGCTGAAACACCTTCCCAGCCTTATCTGGGCACCCACAGATAGAGGACAATACTGCTGCATGTAGAAGCACGGAGATGAAAGTTTGCAGGAAGCAATTTCCTTTGAGTCCAACTTCTGCCTTGACAGATTTCTGGAAAGGAGGAGTGGGTGGGTGGGGGATCTGCATGAGGGGAGGCTGCCCCAACAAGCCAGAATCCTTACCACGCATGATTGGAAATGGGGATTTCCTTTTGAAGAAGGCCAGCCTCCCTTGTGCAGGATGGGGGAGAGCTGCTGCCCTGCCTCCTCCTCTTGCTCTCCAGAGATCTGTCAAGGCTGTCAGCTTTGGAAGCTATGTTAGAACTAGAAGCTTCCATGCTGCCACATTCCTGTGTCTGGGAAAGTAGGAGGGGTGAATTATAGAGTGTTGATAGTTAGACATAATAGCATTCTTCTTTTTGGTCAAGGTCATGTTATTCATGCACCTGGAGGAGGAGTGGTTAAAGGGATGTCTCAAGTTGGGACGGTTGGTGATTGGACCATGTGATGGACCATGTGATGGGGCAGGGGTTGGGTTTTGACTTTTGAATTACTAAGGGAAAACCCAGAAGTCTCAGATTTGGGTTTTCCCAGATGTACCAGTATAGAGTAGTATACCTACTCTAATAAAATGAGTTTTTAATTGGAGTTGGGTTTTTCTGGAACCCTGACAAAGGCAGAACTTGGAGGAAAGAGCTTCCTGCAAATTTCTCCTCCGTGCTTCTACATGCAACAGTATCTTCCTCCACCTCCTGCTTTACTGGGAGGGGGCACCAGACAGGGAAATGCCAATGATGTCTAGGATTGGGAGAAGAAAATCTCCTTTGGCATGATGTGCACATGCATACACACACACACATACACACACACACCATTCCAAATTTGGAGACTTTTATCTACACCTGAGCTTGCAAACTGCCAATCATGCCTGGGTTTGGGGAGAAGGCCCTCTTCTTCTTCTGTGGAGAAAAGTTGCCAAACTTAGAATGTAGAGTGTGTGTGTGTGCATGTGCGCATGTGCATGTGCATGTGCTTGGCTGCCAACAGTTTGGGGAGGCAAGAAACTTGTGGTGCACCAAACTGTCCCCATGTTGAGTTAACTGGTGCAACTTGTTCTGTCTCCACCCAGCCATCCCAAGTCAGCTGCACCCATTGTGTGGCATCAAGCCAGCCACCCAGCCACATCTACCTAGCCATGCCCACCTGGCCTCTGTGAGTCATCATAGTCTTGCATGCAACTGGCCTTTGATGTAGCCCTCAGTGAAATTCAGTTTGACACCTCTGTTCTAAGTGTTCATCAGTTGAGTCATTTAGAATAGAGACCAAATCTAATGGCTACTTGTGTAAATCTTCATTTCCAATATGGTAATGAAGCAATAAATATTGCTCCTGGTATGGAACAATAAAAACCAAGTGAGTGGCAACTTGCTGAATCTAAGTACTATTGAAATGGAAGAGAAGAAATTTTGTCAGAATTCATTCTGGCACTGAAGTCCCTCATTAAAATCTTCTCTGAACTTAGAAATTGAGTTATCAGTTCTAGCAGTCACTCTTCAAGAAATGTTCCAAATTGTCTTCATTTGTGAGAGAAGCCTGTATGGAGGAATTTATACATTAATCAGTAATAAATTTTATGATCCACTTTTAATTCAGTAATCAATGCAAATATGTTGAGGGAAATGGGGCATGACATAGTTGTACAAAGTTTTGAAGAAATAAATGTAGTAATGCCTCCATTAGCACACCCACTCTTCAGGCTAGGTGTTATTACCAAAGAGTGTGTAGTTGTTCAATTTTATGGAGTGGAGTTCCCATCTTTCCTGGAGAAATTCAAATTGTCTGAAGAGGAAAGAAAAGTAGGTTTTCATATATAGCATGCAACCAGCTATAATCCAGGAAAGCAGATAGATATTTGTCACTTTGCAGAGGATGATAATTGAAAGAAATCTGATGAAATTTGTGTCTCCTTGATCAGAACCAAAGTGTTGGTTGTTACATTTATTGTTTTTAAAAGTTGAAGTGGTTAGATTATTAGATTTCTATTGGATTTCATTAAAGATCCATGAGTTGACTTTGTCTCTCTGTTTCTGTAATATAAATAAGTGGAAAGTGAGATGGGTGTAAAGGGGTTGGTGGTCTGCTATTGTTCTGCTCTTGCTATAGAAGAAGTTATAGAAGGGTTATTAACTAGAGATGTATGGGAGGAGAGTATAATGAATTTAACTGATGCTACTGGGAAATTAATTATTTTGACAGCTTGAGTTTGAAAGAACAGATCATTTACAGCTTTTCCAGGGCACTAGAAGTTGGAGTCATAATCCCATATCAACTTTGAGATGTAAAGTTATAAAAGCTTTTTTTAAAAAATTGTCCAGCCTTTTCAAATAGTGCAGTTTGTTACTTGGGAACTGTGAAAAAAACTCTGGGATTTCTTCTGGTAAAAATGTCAGAGCTAAAAAGTTTTCTGGTCTTAGTTTCTGTGAAAGTGGAAAATAATTCTTGATTCCTTCCCTCTGGCATTTCTTTGTGTGCCTGAACCCTGATACCGTCTTCTTTTCTCTAGATTGAATATCCCCAGTTTCTTCAGCCTATTTATATTGAACATAGCCTCTGCATCATATTTCTCTGAACCTGCTGTAATCTGTAAATATCTGTCTGTAAATGTAATGTACAATCAAACACAATATTGTAGGTCTGGTCTCACAAGTTCAGAATACAAAGAAGTAAGACTTCATGCATTTCTCATAAAATGCTTCATTTAATGCAACCAACAACTGTGTTTGTTCTTCCATCAGTTCACTCACACTGCTGGTTCCAAAACCAAGCTCGTCTTCAATGTAGTGTTCCTAGACATGAATCTCTTGTTTTCTATGCATATCCCCGTTTTTTCTTGCATAGTTTTAGATAGCTGATGTTATTTTATGCTATGTCTAATAACATTCCTCATGATATGTTTATATATGTTTTAATGATTGTTTTAACCACATTGCTACTTTAAGTTTCTGTTAGTGTTGAGCATCATTTGTTGGTAGAAAAGATAAAACATAAATCCCGGAATGATTACACTTGCTGCAACCATTTTCAACTACTATCCATCCATCAATCAATCAGATTTAATCAGTCAGCTTTTAAACACTGTTTTAAAATAGTTAATAAGTAACTTATATAATTATATGGCCATCAAGTTCCCCTGTTGAATCTTACTATAAATGAACAGAGTTCTCTGGCTGATTATAAATTTTGGACAGATAAATTTAGGAGTTGACTGTCTTTTAAATAGTCTGATTCCAGTCAATATTGGGATTTCAAAGATACTTGCATCTACACCTGGAGAGAAACCAGACACTGGGACTCGGAAGAGAATTCGTGTTGCAGTAACATGTATCTGGTCGTCACAAGCAAGTGCATGAACAGAACCTTCTGAATTATTTTCAAAGGCAGTTTCAATAGTTCACCAAGATAGGAATTCATATGACAGATTCTGATCTCCCTAAGTCTGGAGAACCTGGTAAATCAGCCACAACTGGGAAACCCCTTCTTCTCCAGCCACAGCAGCATCTGCTCCTCTGCCTATTATTACATGTAATTAAACATTTGAGGATATGGTTTACCATCTCTTTGCAAAAGGACTGAATCCGATAATCTTTTTAGTTGTTCCTTTCTTTTCTATAATTCAAGAGATTATCTGATTTACAGATAGCCTTTTGGGAGGAGATAATGTCAGCTGGAAATCCTAGTCATTGGGGTAGGAGTGCACTTTTTCTATAGTGAAAAGTGCTTATCTGACCAAATTTTTTAAAAGGGCAAGCATCAGAAAGATTCCTATGTGGCAATGTCATTTTGAAAACTTTAAAACCTCATAAGTACATTTTTATCTTAAATAGATATGATAAAGAATAATATGACCTTGCCCAAAATAAAAGTCAGTTGGAGCAGGCTCCCTTTGGTAATTTATGTTTTACATTCTCTGAACCCAAGCTCACAAGGCAGTTTACAAACAAAACATAAATCAAGGGAGATTAAAATAGAAGAAACTAATTAAAAACGGAACTATTTTTAAAACAAGAGAATCAATCAATAGCCTTCTCTCTCCCAATGCTTTCAAAACAGTTTTCATTAAATACATAGAAGACAGCCATGAAAAGACTAGGAGAGATTAAGGAAGGCTTAGATGAAGAGTTCTGAGATTAAAATAGGGATCATGTTGTTCAGCTCTGCTTATCAAAATAAATCAACAGAGAATGGAGATGATGGATAAGGAGTATTGTATGATGGAGATTTATTTATTTATTTAAATTCTATTTATTTATTAATTTTATTTATTTTAATTCTATGCCCCAATCAAGATCATGATTTACTTCAATTCTCCACCAAGCAATTGTACATAGCTAGGTAATGTGAATAACATCTATCTAGTTTGGCAATTCCGATTCTAGTAGCTATGAACGTAACTTTTTAAGTTTTTCCACTGAAAGTAGGTATTGAAAGCATATTTAATTGTGTACTTTGAGACAAGGATACACAGAAATATCCTTGTTCCCAGAGAATCTGTTTAAATGGCTTGAAACTATTAAAATATCTGACAAAGTATGGGATATCAGAATTATTTCTACACATATTTAACATCTGCTACAGTAGATATATTTTAAAGGCAAAGACAGAAAGTGAGGAGACAGCACACTTTTGCTGTAACTAATAGTTCCAATGTGTGCTTAATGTGCAATTTTAATAAAGTTTTGCCATGGCAGGAAAGGAGGTAAGGGAATAACTTATGGGAAATCCTTTGTAATGGAAAAAGAGACAAATTGCCTCATGTTTTTTTTCTGGCCAAGAGAATTCATGGCTCTCATACAGCAAGCCAAGCCATTTTTCCGCAATCAGTCTGTACTGCAGAAAGACTGGCAAAACAACCCAATCTTTTTTAAAAATCCTTTACATTTACTCAGTTCTTCAAACAATTTTCTTGATATACCCATCAGTCTATTGTTTTAAACACAAATCCCAAATATTAACATTTACCCCAAGAATACATCAAAAGACTTTCATTCTTTCAAAGCAATTCTCAGCTCAGAAAATAATGGACATTCATAAATAATAGCTCTTATTATCTGAATGATTCTCAATATTATATGCCACCCAATTTCCACTGACTCTGAGCGGTTGTTATGCCAGCTTCTATCTTAATTCTTACTTTAATCCAATCTATTTTAGTACTGGATAAATTTCATGAATGTTGTTAATAGGCACAATTGGTTACTAAAATAATGATAGTGAAAGCGTTGTTTCTGGCATATTATGGATGCCTCATCTTGAGATATCAAGATAGTAGGAAGCCTGGAAGCCTCCTCATGCTGCAACAACGTGTCTTCCAAGGTCAAGATGTTTCCTTTTCTCATTAACATTCAGCAGGGCCATGAAGAGCTTTGAGGGCATAAAGATGGCCAGGTTTTTGCAGGAGCTGTTTAATAAGTATCTGGTTCAAGGTCTGATTATTAGCACTGGTGATGTAAGTTATGTAGTTTATTCTGTTATAACAGAATACTTTTATGAGTTGGGATTTTCATTGTTCTATTGTTTTTATGCTTGTGAGATTCTTGAAGTCTTGGATAGAGGCAAGCAAACAACTAATGGAACAGACAGAGGTAAACATTCAGAGCTACATTTGTATAAGCTTTCCCATCATAAAATCCAAAACTAAGCATGTATTTACTAATTGTTTTACAGTATGTGTTCCATGCAATTAGCATAATAAATCTTAGCATAGATTTGCTGGACAAGAATATTTTCCAACCAAATCCTAACTCAACAGAAACTCTCAACACAAAGGAGTTAGGGGAGAGTAAATCTCCAGCACAATGAGATCCCATTTTAAGTATTTCCTATTCACATTTTTATTTTTTTAATTCGTTGTGTGTGATCACTGTTCCACTTAGCACATTGCACTCACAGCTGATAAATGCACTTGAAAACTGTTCACTGTTCTGATTTTTTTTTTTTAATAACAGAGGGATAGAATCAAGATCCTGTAACATATTTACACTACTTTATAAAGCCTTAGTAAGATCACATTTAGAATACTGCATCCAGTTTTGGTCACCATATTTTTTTTAAAAAATGCAGAGAATCTGGAAAGAGTGCAGAAAAGAGCAACAAAGATGATTAGGGGACTCAAAGCTAAAATATATGAAGACTGGTTGCAGGAATTGGGTTTGTCTAATCTTGTAAAAATAAGGACTAGCTCTGTTCCAATATTTGAGGGGCTGCCACAAAGAAAAAGGGATTAACCAATTTTCCAACATACCAAAAGGCAAGACAATAAGCAGTGGATGGAAAATAATCAAGAAGAGAAGCAAACTAGAATGAAAGAGAAAGTTCCTATCAGTGAGAACAATTAATCAGTGACACTGCTTGCCTTCAGAAGTTCTGGGTACTCAATCACTCTATGTTACTCTTCAATAAGTAGCAGTACCCAAATCTGCTGTAGTCATCTACAATGACCTGCGCATACTTTGCTCCTCCCAAACTGGCTTGCATTGGCCCTGCCAATAATGCACATACCAGCTGTAGAGCTCTTGTTGTCTGTCTTGTGCTACTTTTGCTCATGGGAATGCCTTAGAGTTTGATGATTTACATATTGCACAATTCAAGTATGCCTTACACCCTTTTAAGTTCAACCCTTCTGCAAACTGTTGCATCTTTTGCAAAACTCTGAAGCTGGCATGGCCAAGCTTTCTGTGCAAGAATAATCATGAATCATGATGTACCACATTTTCAAATGTTTGAGCACGTTGAACTTTTTGTCCCTGCAACACATAAAGATTATCCTGTTTTATGCCCTGTGCACATACACTCCCTTTTCTCTTTATGAGACACTTCCCATTTACAAATGTGGTTTGAAACCCTTTGTCAGTGTTCCAGAAAACCTCAACTCCAATCAATAACTCCGAGATAGACATCTTCTCAAAGTTTCCTTTTATTAGAGTAGTAAACTGGCACGTCTGGGAAATCCTGAATCTGAAAGTTCTGGGTTTGTCTTCAATAAGTAAAATATTACAAATCCACCTCCTGTACCCCTCATTGCATCACATGCCCCAATCACCATCCATCCCAACTTGAGACATCCCCTCAACCACTCCTCAGCCTGGTGCAGAAATAACATGACTTTGACTTAGAAGAAGAATGCTATTATGTCTAACCATATACACTCCAATTTTCCCAGGCTCAAGAATGTAGCAGTGTGGAAGCGTCTGGTGCTAATATGGCTTCCAAAGCTGACAGGCATCCCCCCTTGAAAAAAATCATGTCCTGAAAAATATAATAAACAAAACACAACAAGGGATTAACACATTGTCATCAAGCCACTTAACCCCATCTCCCCCCTCCAAGGGGACCCTTTGGCTTGTTGGGGAACTTGTCATGAAATTGTGTAATCAATCTATCTGTGTGTATATCCCAACTTATATTGTAATCATCCTCAGTATAATCTAGAGTCAAGGATTTTCTTGATTTCATAATGTGTTTCACCTTGTATTACCAAAGGTAGGTATGGGTTGTAGATTGGAACCAATAGCAGGCTTCAACAAGTTAATATGGAAGACTGGATGTATTTTCCTTAACAGCTGAGGGAGG